TACTAGAACTCAGGACTTCTGTCTCTTAGAGGTGCTATCTATAAACTATATGTGTACTAACTCTTACTACTACCCCTCCTTACTTTATTATTCTATTCCTTTGACTACCCCTTCATTCTTTGTTCATCCTATAGTCTCTTACCCTTTGTTCATCTCTTTATTCTTTGTACCTTTATCTTTAACCTTCCTTTTCTTTCATTCTTTGTAGCTTATTATTCTTAGTAGTTTATACTCTCTGAGTGCTCTTGTATAGTTTAGTATATATAGGTGTACAAGATCAGACTAGTCTTATAGTCTTGATCTTGTCTACTCTAGATAGTCCTGTACTCTTAGGCTCACTCTATATACTCTACTCTTGTCTCACTCTCCCTCCCTACCTGTTTTACAAGTTCTGACTATGTTCTAGTGCTTGTACTCTGTATTTCTGTTATATAAGATAGTTGTAGCCTAGGGACCTAAAGACTTATAGAACACAAACATTTATTAGTATATATAGTGTAGACTAGGTGTTAAGCTAAGCTTAACATTGTACCCTTTTAGTAAAGAGGTTCTATGTATAGTCTACTATATATAGTAATCCCTTACATAATGTTAAGCTTAGAGTAGTCAGAGGTTTAATCCTAATGTAGGGTTGTCTGTAAGTAAAAGTATTAGACTAAGAATAAGCTTTCTAAAAGGGAGAGAGTGAATTTCTCAGTTGCTTAGAATACTAGGGCTAGGACTCTATATTAGAATATCTCTCCCTACCTCTAAAGACTGTCAAGGTTAAGTTAGAAATAGTAACCCTTAGGGTTAAACTCTATATACTAATTATGTAAGAACACATAACTCTAGAGAGGAGAGTAATGTTAGAACACAAACATTTATTAGTATATATAGTGTAGACTAAGTGTTAAGCTAAGCTTAACATTACACCCTTTTAATAAAGAGGTTCTATATATAGTCTACTATATATAGTAATCCCTCACACTTACTTGAGTTACTTAAGCTTTTAAATAGTAGTTTCTTTCTTACTAGAGTTATTAAATAATTACCTTAGTTACTCTATAAATACTTAGAACAATTAGGTATAAAGAATTTTACTATTATTGTCTGTGTTTTAAGTAACCTAATTTTCTACTTATATAGTAACTGTCCCTTCCTTTAAATAAGAAAGTACAAAGAGTATCTTCTTTTTACTATTATAAAAGGCTCTCTTATTAGTAAGAATATATAGTAAACATTCTCTTTTAAAGTTCTAATAATTCTTACCTCCTTTATACTCTCTAAGAGTAATAGTAATCTTTCTAAGGTTTCTAGTAAGAGTATAGTGTATTACTATAATAACAGTTTGACTAGTAACCTTTATAATTAATTGAGAGACTGAATTCATGTCTAAGTGTATATATACATCTTGTTAGAGCTGTACAAGCTTGTAAGAGAGTATAAGAGAGTTTCTTAAAGGATTTGACATTGTTTCTAAGGCTAGCTCTAATAAATTAACTTTTAAAGTACTAAATACTCTTTCAAATACTTAAGTAAGCTCTAAAATGTTTGAGTCTTTGTTAGAGGCTAGTGTGAATGATTATAAACAATGTTTAAGTCCTAGAAACAGTTTCTTCAACTAGTTTGTTACTTAGACAACTTTAATCTTTCAGTTTTAAACTCTTAAGCTACTTATATATACTTTATTCTAAGTACAATCTAGTAACTCTTATTTAATAATACTAAATAACTATAAGACAATACTAGACTTTCAGACTGTAAGGTTCTTAAAAGTGTTACTACTTGAGAGAGACTCTAGTTAACTAGTAAACAAAGGCTAGAGAGTAAGCTTTACAAGTAGTAAGTTAAAAAGTGTTTAGAAAAGAGTATAGTTATACAAATTGTAAAGATAATACACAAACTTGAAAGAGTGAAAGAGAGTAAAGGATAGTAGTAATACAACCTTAAGAGTAGAGTATAAAATAATAGAAAATAAAGTAACAAATGAGTAAGGAACAATATAGAATTAATAAAATAGTAAATTAGTTTAATAGTTCTTTAAGAAAGTAAAAGGTATATTTATAAAGAGAGTAAGGAATACTTAAACAAGTAGTAGCTCAGTTTAAGCAAACTAATCAAGTAGTAGCTCAGATTAGGCAGATTGAGCAGATTATACAGGAGGAGTAACTGAGTAGTAACTTAAGTTAGAGAAAGTTGAGTAGTAACTCTAACTATATATAGAAAACAAATTAAATAATAGTTCAGACTCAAAAGAGAGTTGAATCAGATAGAGAGGATAGTTAAGTAGTAGTTTAGACTAAGAGGATATTGATTAAGTAGTAACTTAGACTAAGAGTAGTATTAAGGTAAAGATGAGTTTTTTAACTCTTATGTTAGAGGAGATATGTTCTCTAGATTAATAGTACTCTTAAACTGTGAATATAGACTTATAGTCCTTAAACTAACTATATTCCTAAAGCTACCAGCTAGGATTTATACTAGGAGAACAAGTAGGAATACAAGAAGAGTTAAAAAACTAAGGAATTACTGTATTTATAAACTACTTTTTATAATATTTAAATAATAAGAGTAAAGTAAGGAATAAAACTTAAGAATAAGATTAAAGAAATAATAAGAACAAATATTATAAAGCTAACAGGCACATTAGAGGCTAGGAAGAATTAACAGAGTGTTATACATTAAAAAATATAAGCTAAGAGGCTATTACACAAAAGAGGTATAAGTTACTATATTAGGTAAGAAATGGATTAACTGTATTATAATTATATACACTACCTTATGTCTCTGTAACTCTCTCCTGTACTTGATACTAATACAATCTCTATAAAACTTTGTAGAACAATAGATAAGATGTTAAAGATTATGAAAATCTAGTAACAATGTTAGTTTTTTTGCAAAACTGACAGAGATAAAAGAAAATGAAATAGGTCTAATCCTACAATTCTAACACTAATAAAGTAAATATAAATTATATATATATAAGAGTACTAAAATAAGTAACTTAAATAGAAAAAGAAACTATATATATAGTTTAAAACAAGAGAATTATTATAATAAAAAAAGAAACTAATTATATAATTAAAAGACTACTTTATTAGTTTAAACTTAAATTAACTGTATTTAAGACAGAATACACAGTTTGTATAAAACTTTATTAGGACTTAAAATGTATAATACTTTTTAAGTTTCAGAACTTATAATAAGTTAAAACTATAATAAACTATAAACTTATAATAAAATAGTTCTTTTATAAATTCTTAACTTTTTTACTTTACTTTTATATACTTTATATATAAACTCTATTTTTAATAGTTAAAAAATATAATAGAATTAAGAGTTATAATTTACAGTTTAAGTATACTGTTAGTTTAGAGTAGTATCTTTTTTAACATTTTTACTATTATTAATATAAAGAGAGAAAATACTAACTAAGTATTATATGTGAACTACTTACTGTATATGGGGCTGTATATTCACACGTGGACGGAGACGTAAAGAGAACAGAAGGTGCTGACATAAGCGGGTGAGGAGGACACCCCTCGACGAATGGGCAGACGAGCACTCGCCTGAGCCCTCATTGGCCAGCATGGACAGTACTAGTCAGCGCAACAACAACAGCTACGTGGATCAGCTGGCTTATCACCTCCAGCAATACAGCCGTATGCCTCTGTCGTTCCCTTCTCCTGCCTCCCACTGACTCTGACTCTCCTTCCCCGACAGAATACAACCAGGACAATCCCCCACCCATCGGCGACATCCATCTCACACAGCTCCCCCACTCCCAACACGATCTCTACGCACACCAGCGCACGCAGCAGCACCAGCACCAACATCCTCAGACCCATGCACAACAACAGCCGGGCATATACGATCCCCATGCTCATCCCCATCCGCAATCTCACCCCCATCTCGCACACCAGCACCCCCAGCAGCACCTCCATCGCCCTCCTTCCCGTGCCATCTCACCCCCTACACATCCTGGCGAACGGGACGTGCGTACCCCAGTCGGCGATGACAACTACCTGATGGCCCGTCATCCGCACGCTCTTCCGTCGCAGCAGCAGCAGCAGCAGCATTCGCATTTGCATCCGCACGCACATGAACGCCTCGAACTTGATATTGATCTCACCGACGCTCCTTCCGGATCTAACTCGCAACCTGGTCCGTCTTCAGGTGGTGGGCTCGCCGTCCCATCTGCTGCAGCATCGACGACAGGTGCGCCTAACGCCGATCAGTCAATCGACGAAGAACCCTTGTACGTCAACGCAAAGCAGTACTACCGCATCCTCAAACGCCGCGTTGCGCGTGCCCGTCTGGAAGAGCTGCACAGGCTTTCCCGGCAGCGCAAGGTATGTTATATCGGACTTGTCCCTTCTCCCGTTCATTTTCCTTTCCGTCTTTGTCACATTTGTTCGCATTAAACACGATGCACAAATTGCTCTGTGTCTATTTGGGTGAAAAGCGGCTATTTAGCGAGGTGTTGTTACGTGAAGTCGGATTACTCGCACGTTGAACTCGTAACTGGAAGCGTGCTTCTCCCGCGCACCTCGTTTTCATACTTTTATGGCCCATCAATCCTAGTGGTTTGTTACTCTTAGAGTCTTACCATGTCGGAACACTTGATGCGCTATTTTCGCCTCAGTACCTTACGATGATCGGGAGGATTGGTGGTGGACATGACACACTACGTCATTTCATCTGCTTGTTGTCTACGATCACAAGTTCGATCATCCCCCTCATCCCCCTGAAGTTGGTCCCAAGTCTGAAGTGTGAAGCATGTCAACTATGCTTATCCCACTTTGGCTGCCGTATTTTAATCTTTTTACTGTTAAAAAATACTAATTAAACATTCTATAGCCATATCTTCATGAGTCGCGCCACAAACACGCGATGCGTCGTCCGCGCGGTCCGGGAGGACGTTTCTTGACCGCAGAGGAGATCGCAGGAAGAAAAGCCGCGGAAGCCCAGGCTGTAGAAGCCGGAGGCCACTCAGTCGGAAAGGAGGAAGACGACATGGAGGATGTTGATGCTGATGGGGACGGCGATGCCGATGGTGAAGGAACTCCTGAGGGCGATGCTCATGCGAAGAAAAGCGCAGGTCAAAGTCAGAGTCAGATGCAAGGTCAAGAGAGGACGGACCCGATGCTTGATCCACGTTTACTCTCGCTGCAAATTCCTTCGGGAGCAGTGGGAGACGAGACGAAGCAAGCGAGTGCGTCACCTGCGTCGCCGTTCGCTCCTTTGCATATGAGTTTCCACCAACATCCGCATCCGCATGAACATCATACGCATCAGGGGATGTTCATTCAGCAGCAGCACCAGCGACAAGGACAGATGTTACACCCCGGGTATGGTATGCACCGGAATCAGTCTGGTGGTGAACGTTCGCCTGTCCAAGGACCTAGTGGTGACGGTGATGCGTCGGCGAACGGAAGTGGGAGTGTGACATTACGTGCACCGTACTCCGCTTCTCCGCATCCCCATTCCCCTCTCCCGAACACAGGTGCTTCTGGTTCCCCGACTTCGTATTTCCCTACGAATGTCCAAAGTCCTGCTCCTTCCGGAATGTCTGCTACTGGAACTGACGGGAGCGGTGCGCAGAATGCTGCTGCTGGGGACGTGGGACAGGCAGGAAGACAACAAGCACAAATGCCCACGCAGCTTCATCACGTCCCTCACCCACATGCGCATCATAGCCGAGTACATCCTCGAAGCACGCACGTCCATGGTCAACCGCACCCTAGTGAATCAGGAGGACTGTACACGCCATTCGAGTTACCCGTCGCGGTGGAACTTAATCTCCTCACTCTGGGACTCGGGTTAAGTCCAACTGCGCAGAACGGGATGGGCAGTACGAATGGTATTAACAATGAAATGTCCTCTACGTCCAATAACAATGTAAATGGGACTGGTGCTAGTGGGGTAGAAGGGTACTTAGGCCTTGGAGGTGGAGCCGGAGCCGGAGTGAACCACCCTGGTGCGGTACACGTTGGAGGAAGTGGGTTGACCGCGAGTGACCAGGCGGATTTGCAAAGACGGACGGAGGAGATACTCGCGTTTAGTGCGAGGAGTAGTATGGGGGGCACGGGTGGTGGGGAGAGTGCCAGGAGGTAGCAGCAGTAATTGCTGCAGTAGAGATTGGGGTTAACGAAAAATAAACGGCTTCGAGTTCAGAAAAGAGGGTCTAAGTATGAATTGGATGGAATTGAATAGGAGATTCTCCGCCTACTTTTTCGCTTACTTTCATATCTTTCGATTATTTTTTCTTTCATTTGGATTATATACGTGTCTATTTTTTTTTCTCAGCTTCACATTCTTTGCTTCGTCATTCTTTTGTTTTGCTTCAGGTTCTCTTCGTCCTTTCTCATTCTCTTAGGCTTTGTTTTCGGTTACACAGTACTAGGCTTCTGAGGGATTTGAATTATATAGCAAATTGAGTTTAGTAGTAAATATTAATTCCCAATTCTAAGTGCCTATTTAGTACAATCTACCTAAGACTGCTCCGAGGTATATGCCCAAAAGCTACTGCACCATGCAACTGGCGTGCGCGATCCGCTTGAAGCTGTCGCGCTCTTTGGATAACATAGGCTTGCCTCTGCTGGAGACTATATTCTGCTTCTTGTCGCCTTCCTTTAATCCTTTCGTTTAGTTCTTTCTGTTCAGGAATGTTTCCCTTTTCGTGATATTCGGCAAAGTGTTTTGTTAGTGCCTTTAGATACTTGATGTAAAGCACGAGATCCCTTGAAGTCACATCATTAATTTTACCGGGTGCCTTTACTGTATCATACTTTAGGAACAAGCGGCATTCTTCGTCAAACCAGCACGTTGCATAACCTCGTTCTATGAATCATGCCAACGAAAGTGCACAAGCGTTAGAGTATGCCAGTCTGGAAACTTGAAGATAAGGACAATGCTCACTGAATTTTAGACATACTTCGTGTTTATCGCTTTTGTTACCAGTCTTCGTTATCTTTCCACGTTTTCCAGTTTGAAATCGGAGGCCTAACGAAGTGAGTTAGTAAGTAAATAGTTGGACAGTATGTATGCATACACTCATTTATGCCTCCATTCAAGGCCTTTTCAAGATTTCGTCTTCTAAACTCGGCCTCAGTCATTTCTTGATGTCCTTCAACGTCTTCCCCTTCAACGTCGTCTTCATACTCCTCGTCCACCACTAGGTTATTGGATTCCCTGTGGGCACTACTACTCCGAGCCTGGGAATATCTGCCAGTGCCACTAGCACTGCCATCACTGGAGCTTCTCCTGAATATTTTTGATTTCCATTTCTCTATCTGTGAAGGCTCAGGCTCTGGATCTGAGTCTTCAGCCGACAGTTTCACTTTCGTACTGAATGATACTCTATTCCTGGATGTTGCTTGTTCTGGGCTGTCGTCTGCCATCTTGCTTCTTTGCAGATGAAGTGAGAGGCATCCTCGATTATATATGCACTGCCAACTGTCACTTTGCTACGTGGCTCAAAGATCAATCGAGGAGGTAAACATTGATCACTAAGGCGGCGCAAAGTAGTCATGATTTACGTCGAAATTATATGTTGCTTCGGAGGTCTTTCTGTTTCAGACGCACTGTACTTATGCTCATCTCAACTCGAGGCCCTTCAGTCCCTTTTGTCCAATTGTTCTATCTGTTCGAATCAGCAAACTGTGTCCTGCGCTCACGTATAATTAGACACTATTACCCTGATAAGGCGAATGAAAGTAAACCTTGTCGCGTCGATTTACTTACGGTGGAAAGCATCTCTCACTACTTGCTCGGCAACGGACTTCTCGGGCGAGAACTCCGGTGATGTGCGGTGCATGAGAGGCGAGGGTAACACGGCCCCGTCTGGGGGATTCACGAGGGTCAGCTGTACGTGTATAGATGCGAAGACTGGTCCCTATTGTACGAATTTGGGGAGACATCAGGATGTGGCATGTGGCATGTTCGGCGGTTTCACAGCTTCTGCCAAATTGGTAGATAGACTCGAGTGCGGGATACTAGAAATACTCCGACTTGAAAGTCGCTCCTTAAATAGTGCTCGAATGCCGCCAGATGTGTCGGTAACAGACAAAAGCATTGTAGAATGGACACGTGTATAGGGCGAACAAAGTATGGGGGATTTTCGACCGATTTGATTTGATTTGATTTTGAATTGTGGATGATGATATGTGTGTTGATCTAAGCGACGGATTATCAGCACAAGCAGCGCCTTCAGTCATCCTCGGCGACGCCGTTCTTTTCAAGGTGCCTACATATGAAGGGCCCGCGACAAGACACAAGATCACTCAACGCGTCTTGTTCTTGAGCCTCGACGTGGACGATATACAGTCCGAAAGTGTCGGGCAGAGCGTCGAGGATAATTGATTGCCGACAGTCAAGACGGCTACCGGGCTCCGATTCATCAAGTTAGGCGTCTTCCTCTCACAAGCGCAGTTACTTGTTCAGTCGTCCCTCCTCTTCAGTGCACGGTCGTCGTTGAGCTCGATGGCCCCACGTCAGCGTCGGTGTATGCGCTCGGTAATGGCTTCTGTGGTCGTCGTGACGGCGCTAGGGAAAGCGGGCCGAGCAGATCAGGTACGTCGGTTCTCGAACAGGGCCCACTAGTAGAGTAGAGCACTGCTACTGTCTAACATTGATGATGCTGACACGGCTTTTGCTCTCTGCGTAACAGCGTGTTGCGTGCAATAATGTGACATCTTGGGTGCGTGCGGCAGTCATCCTTTTGAATCGCCGTAACTGATGAGGGCGTTGCTAAATGTTAGATGGACAACGCGTCGGGCGAGTCGCCTTGCACCGTCGCGTATTTCTTGATGCTGCACTGCACAACTGGGCAAGATCTCAGTATCTTACCACTCAACAATTCCGCTAGGTCATACACCAATCCACTACGTGGACAGTGGTGCTCATGGTACGCTCTTGTTTTAATCATGCGCATGTTGTAACAAGTTTATGACATCTATGTATGCGGCCACAGCAATACCGTCGTGTACAACCTCATGAGTGCATGTGCCGTATGCCAGGGCGGCTTTCCCACCAACTTTTCAACATGGACAGATGACTGCGCCGGCGTGATGCACGATTATCCAAACAAGGAGCTCGCTTTGAGCTATAGCATTCCCCAATGGGCATATGTGAATTTAACGCGCCGCGCGACCTTTGACCTCGAAGCTGCCGAAAAAGGTCCGTAGACTGCCAATTTCTATAAGTTCAGGATATTGAAAATTTCTCTTTCTTTGCGCTGTCTCTCGCTTTGTTTCCCCATGCTAGTTGCCGGAGTGAAAAGAGGATGGAGCCCCATCCAAATAGTGCTCCCCGTCATCATCGGCATCGTAGTCGCCCTCTTGGCAGTCCTCGCATTCCTGATCTACCGCCGTCGTCTCAAACAAAGATATACCCAGATCGCCGATGCATATCCGAACACGCCAATGTATCATCAACACCATCACCGGCAGCAACCATCTCACTCTCACTCCCAGACATATTCCCACCACAACAATGTGAACATGACATCCCGGCATGGTCATCAACCAACAGCTTCGTCATCCACTCTGGGTTTGCACTCAATGTCGGGGCGCGATAGTCCCTCACTTGGAAATGGTATTCCGAGAAGGAAAAGTGCTGCGGCGGTTGCTTGGGAACGTGCACGTTTGCAAGCACCAAGAAAACTCGGAGGGCTCCTCGCAGATCGAAGGAAAGTACACACACGTACAAGGGGTGCGGATTGGAGTATTGATGCGGATAATATCAATGAGATCGGTGTTGAAGAGAACGGGTACAATGATCCATGGAACCCGCAGGCTTCGCATTCAAGATTGCCCTCGGGGTCGACATCACATACCAAAGAGGTCTCGGGGGAGAGTACAGGTCAAGCAAAGATCGAGACCGGAAATGCGACTGGAGCGAGGCTCGTTCGTCCATCCGGCCATGGCAGATCTGAGTCCCGACTCGGTTTACTCTCTAACACTTCACCTGAACGGCTTCATCCCATCCAGGACTCACGGGAGAGTGAGGGATCGGCGTCATCGTTCGTACGTGGTATTATGGAGACTTTAAATGATATCGGTATGAGGTTGAGCGGTCGACCTCGACCCGTTGCGGTTGTGTCGAGCCCGCCGAGACGCGGGTTCAATATGGATGATGTAGATAGTGCGAAGAGTCCGAGTGATCTAGCCAATCCGCGCGAGGAGAGGAGGTCGGATTCATATGTATTTGTTGACGGGGAGGAAGACGAGGGAGAGGAGGGAGAGGAACTCGGTAAGCCTGTGCTCGTGGACAGCGATACTCGTCCGAGCTCGAACTTCGCAGTTTTCGGGAGCAGCTCTGCTACGCTGAACCCAAGTCAAGGCGGAAGTAGCGGGAGCGGGACGAGGAGCGACTCGAGTGGTGGCGCCAGTGCGAGTCGAACTAGGGCGGCGTTGGGAAGTAGGAGTGCAAGTATGGAACGAGAAAGTCATGTAGACGGTGGGAGTGAACGAGGGGGGGAAAGGGACAAGGTGATGTTGATATCGCGAAGTCCAGGACAGGACTTCAATTCAGTCGAGATGATAAGCCCCATCACGGAGGAGACGTCTGGGTACGGAACCGGAGCCTTCACTACTTCCCATGAAGTGAGTCCATTCTCCATTTATTTTTTTCCTAAGAAACCTCTTATAACAATCGTTCTGTCTTGTACGTATATAGAGCGAGAACTGGCCAGCAGCACTAACAGATACCTCTTCTGTTCTTCTGCCTTCTTTCCGACGGGTGGAGAGAAGTGACCTGCTCCCTCCTGCACCTCCACCAACCCAACAATCGTACACACTCTATACGACATCACTTTCACCTTCACCCTCTCATTCCCAGCTTCAATCTTATTCGGATTCTCGTTCACCGACGCCATCCCATTCTGCCCAGGGCACACCTCGATCACCTTCTCGCCTTCTCAGAGAGCCCTCCAATAATAACATTAATTTGAGCAATGAAGTCGACAACTCGCAATCGCAGACGCAGCCAGTGGTGCCACCCTCCCTACGCGCTGCAGGCGGATTCCAAGCCAACTCAACGCACCTTAATACCTCAACGATGCTCGCACCCACAACGGATTCGATATCCCCAAACAGCGCCATCCTACCCAACTCCCGTCTCTTCGACTCCGCACCAGAACCACCACCATCAGCTATAACCAACACTGGACACGGCACAGGTTTTGGGTCAGAGCTCACGCACTCTAGCTCAGACGCATACACCGTTCCGAACCCTTTTACGTTCGATTCGCGACATGGTGGAAGCTCGAGCGCTGCGAATGCTTTGAGGCTTGCGAGTCCTAGGCCTGAGTCGAGAGCGAGGAGTAGTGCGGAGGTTATTGAGTAGTGGGGAAGTGCAACGGACTTCAAAGAAGTAGAGAACATAGTATGTTACAATACTTGTCGGAGTCGTCTATTGCGTTGTTTTGCATTGACAGCTTGTCACAGTTGGATGATCGGTTTGTACTGCTTGTGTTTACAATCCTACAACATTTAATTTCTTGTTTTTCTCTCTCTCTCTTTCCTTTTCGGTTTTAAGCCTGCTTTCTTGTTTCATCTAGTATTGTCTGTTCTGTTGTAATGTGTACTCTTTGACTGGGATATTCGTGGAACAATCACAACACTTTATTCTTCTCGTCCTCCCTTTCTGTTGTTGTCCTTTTTAAGACAATATATTTATCTTTTTCAACACATTGCCCTAGTCAGACCCTTTTAGACAGTTCTATGTGAATAAAAACTTCTGAATCTTACCTTTTCTTTCTCTTTTCTTGTTATGTTTGTTGTAGTATTATAGTGTTCTTTACATATAACTTATACATTAGGGAAGTTGATTTATTACTAGAGTTTAATAAAACATTGTGTGTATACTAAATAATTTAATTGACTGAGTATAACAATTGTACTACTTATATACTTGTACTATATGTGTTGTAAGTGTATGTGAGTGTTTTCTTTTATTCACTAGACTACTCTGTATTCTACTATGTGTATATGTATATATAAAGGGTTTTTGAGCTAAAGGTTAGAGGATTCTTTCTCCTTCTTAGTGTTAGAATCTTATACCTTTTTAAACTTATTCTGTTTCTTTTTCTTACTTTAGAACTACTTATTACTCTCTGATTTTCTTTGTTCTTAACATTTTATCTTTTATTTTACTAAGTCTCAGGACTTAGACTTGATTACTAAGCTTACACAAGTCTTATACACTCTATAAGTCTTTTATAAAACTTATATAGTTAGTTATTCTTTTGTTTACCTAATTAGATAAGAACTGTTTCTTTAATTGTAATTAGTTAGTACTATGTTCTTTAAGTTTATACAAGTTATTAACTTAGTATTACTTATTCTCTTTATTTTTTTTTATTCTTTTATATTTACTTATTATTTTATACTCTTTATTATTTTTTTTCTTTTATTTTTAAGTATTTTAGTACTCTCTATTATAAATATACTCTTTCTTTAACTATAATTCTTTAGTTTTTTAACTCTTTTTGTTTTCTTCTTATTTTCTTATATAAATTCTATTTTTAGTAGTTTAAGAATATAGTTAGTTTAAATATACTATTAACTTAAAAATACATTCTTTTAATATAAAGTTAAGAAACTTGTTTTAACTTTAGTAATTATAACTATTTTTATACTACTCCTTTTTTTACTAATAATTAATTCTAATTTAAGTATTTAGTTTTTTTACTTTTGTTTTAAGTTACTACTTAAACTCTTTATACTATTTACTATTATTTATATAAATATTATTATATATTAATTTATGTAAATTTTAACACATATTACTTATTTCTTAGAAAACTTACTGCCTTTTTCATAAGTATTGTCACACTTGATGATTCATTATTTTTTGTCTACAAAAGTAAACAAAAACAAAAAAATAA